TGCGTTTATAACATATACGTATATCCGAACGATTGGCATTCGACTTTCTTTTTTCCAATTTGACCAGTTCGAACGGTGAACAAGAGATAAATTTCGTCGAGAATTTTTAGAACTCTTCGGAAGCTTGATTCTACATCGACAGCTGAATTATTCGTAAAGATTCGATTGAGAAAGAAAAAAAGGGTTGCGTTGCTTCATTCATAAGCTATAAAAAAGCTAGCCGAGCGTTGCGTCTTGAAGTGTGCTACCATTTTGCTGAGCTGATATAATCGGCGATCCTTGGGTAAAAGAGGTAGAGAATCAAGCTTCGAGAGAAAGGAGTGGTACGATTTCTCCTTTAAACGCGAATCGACAGACGCTTATTTCTACGACGAACACCAAAGCTTTGAACACAATCGGGGCAATAGAGAGACAGAGTCGGACGACGATAAGGAAATATGTAAAGGGGATCGTTTCGCTGCGTCCCAATAAGAAATGCCTCGTAATCACGTATAACTAACAAACGATCACACTCGTTCACGCATACATAACGCACGCAATAAAACACTCTCGGTAATCGCGTGCGGAAAACATAATGTTCCGATGAGAATCGATTATTAAATTTACTCATCGTGTGCGCGTTTTAATTTTGTCCGTTTATTTCCTCTGGTCTCCTCGCATTCCTCGGTCGTTCTTCACGTTCCTTTTCGCTACTATCCGTAAAGCCATCGACGAGCCAACGACTTTCATCAGAACGATCCACAATCCGGTTGCGGATGCGATTATATAATTAATACATATACACAACAATACGTGCAGAAGAGCCCTTTCCTTATTAATAATATATTATCAGTAATAATTCTTATACACCCCCCTTATATAACCCCGTTAGACTATCCCGATAAACGTAATCGCCAGCCCGTTGATATAGTTTAATATGAAATAATTTAAAGCGTTAGCGGGAAATCGAACGTATGCGCGACTGGTCTCTCGTCGACGACTCTACGCGTGAACATGAACACAGTCTCCGCGGCGAATTACAACTAGCATAGTTTATTCTCGCGTAACGGCCACATCGGATCAGGAGGAATAGGTTTATCTCCAGTGGAGCCGCGCGCAATCACTACTCGAACCAAATCGATCAACGTGTGTTGTGTGTTGTATACATAGTCACTGCACGATCCACAGAGTGCCGGCGAGATTCAACGCGTGATTAACTGTATCGTGTGATTTGGTATCTCGATGGTTGTTTACGAGCTTTTACCAAAATCAGAATGTCCTAAGCGAGCTTTTTCTCCGTATTATTGTTGGCAACGTAACCGTTGTTGGTTCCGTTGCTGTAACAGCTGTTGTATTCCTTGTTGTAGATCGTCGCATACGACGAGACACCGTTTTGTCGCGGCACCGAATCCTCCAGGATCGGCATGCAAAGGCCGGTCGAGCCATTCTGTAAGCTCTTTGCCGTCGGCTTTCTCGATTTGTTCACGTACTTCGCTTTGTAAAAGTCCGAAAATAAACCTAAGAAAAGCACGCCATGTAAACCGATCCAAATCATGAAGCCACGAGGATAATCGCACTCTGTGAAAAGAAGCTGGAACTGGTGACTCATGATCAACACGAATTGCACCTAAAAAATAAATTCCTTTTGTTACAGACCAGCCAGCGGAGGACTATAAAATCGTAAATCATTACTATCGTTCAGTGAATTTACCATTTGCAAGGTAGTCAGGTACTTTTTCCACCAGATGTACTTCTGATACTCCGGGCCCATTGCAGCCACCATATAATAGAAGTACATTATAATGTGAACAAAAGTGTTCAAGAGGGCGAAGAAAGTGCTATGTCCACCTGGTGCGAACTTCAATCCCATCCAAACCGAGAATGGCATTATTCCATGGTGGATCACATGAAGCGTAGACACGTGTTGGTTCTTCTTCCTCAGAATGAAAAATAGCTGGAAAAGCAAGTATACATGTTAATAATCGTCATCATTTCGACAATCGCATTATCAATTGCATTTAACAAAAGAGGGACAACAGAAATTAAGTTTAATAATAACATAAAAGAATTTCCTTCGTTGCAAACTCGTGCTACATCTTGTTCGTTCTGCTCAAACGGGCACAAACGTTGCTCGATATTACCGATTCCTATGAAAGAAAGCTTGCCAGTTACCCGAACGTAAGATTAACCTTTGTTTGCTTCTAGCCAAAGAAGATCCAAGATCCATACAATCGTCGTGGGGTGCAAACCTAGGTACACCGATCGCGAAAGGAGCAAGCTATCCAAGATCACGCAGATCCTCGTTAGAAAATCTCATCTCCCGAGTGTAACGAAGCTTTAAAAGTCCTAAAAACGGTAGCCAGGTATATTTTAAAGTAACACCCCGCTCGGTGGTCCCGAATGCTCTATTTCTTCATCGCCGACTCTGTTTAAGGTCCATCGATTTCTCCTGTGCACAGTGTGCATTGGGCGAAGATGGAACGACCCTCGATTTTACTATTGTACGAGAGCAGCAGCGTGTTCGGTTCTACGAGCAGCGGCGATAGCTGGCCCGATAAGCGATTAAAACAGGAAGAAGAAGAACGGTGGCGTGCGCAGGACGAAGGATACTTACAGTATCGAAGAACTCGGTGAATTTGCTGATGTAATACCACCAGCATGTGTTCGCCATTCGGAGCGCCATGGCGTTGTTGGAGTAGTCGACTGGTTGGCACCGGAAACTGTATCCTTTCGCCCAGCCACTCATCAAGTACTGAAACAAGAAAACGTCGGAAAGTGAGGACAATAAAAGGGGTGCATTCACCGAGAGACGACTACGACTACGACAATCAGCATATAGAGTGCGATCGCTCGCTTTTCACCGAGAAACTCTGTCCCTCCGCTCGCTTTGTTCGATCAAGAAGCCAGGAAAGCCAGGGAAACAGCCGAAGAGGGGGGAACAAAAGAGTCCTCCGGCTGTGTTTCTCTCGCAAGACGACTTCGCTACTATTTTAAATTCTAAAAGCCCGCGCTCCTTCGAGAATTACGAACAATGCGCCTGTAGTTTGTTTCCTGTAGCCTTTCGGCTGTGTTTCCACAATTTTTTCCGAAAAATCAGGCCACGCGTGCTCTAGTCCGACCTTAAACCATCGATTCGCAAACTGCATCTCGATTAACCCTTCAACTATACCGAGCCAGTCACAGCGAGTAACACCGGTATAGTGCGTTCGAGAAAAGAAGGCACAGTGTGCTTACATCCTCACGGCTGATTAATTCCGCTGACACTCCCATCGTCGCAGGCAGTGACCGCTACTGGTCCAAGATGGCGACGACGAAGGTCATCAGACACCGTCTTCGGCCAATAGCGACCACTGCTCGTGCCTTCTTTTCTCGAACGCACAATACCTCCTTTTATTGGACTTTTTGCTTCTATGGTTTACGAAAATTATCGCTGACGCGCCACTGTGTGCATATTTTTGCAAATTCGATTTTCGTTTCGATCTTGGAGTAGAAACGCGATTACCATTGGAACTATGGAACGAGTGAAAATGACGTTTCTTAATTTTTCTTCTTCTTTTTGGAACTGTACCAAACACACGCAGTAGCTAAACTAAACTTCCAAACGTAGTTATTTTCTCGATCAAATTTAATTATTTGCTTCGTAACGTCCCAATTATTGGTAGCTGCGTATAAGATAGGTACACAGGCAGTTCTATCGTTAAATATACAATCAACCCATTTACGACACGATATTCTGGAAACACGCCCCAAAAATTGTATAATGAACACCGTGAACTCGCATATGGCACGAATATTTCCCTCACGCTGTTTTTGTTAATTCACGTTAATTATACACCTGGTTCTCTCGTAACACGACACTCTGATATAACGCGATACGAAAATTACAACAGCCTTTTATAACGAGATATATCTTATGGCAGGATTTACAGCGGTGTTTAATAAACTTGCACAACTTTCGTTCGCCGCGAGTGTCTCCATCTTAAATTTCGATACAACAGGAAACGAATTAACCGCGTAACAAGGGGGATCGAGTGTGCTTTATTTTCATCGTACGGCTTTAATTGCTGTTATATACGTATACCGTATATTTAGCGCGTGTTACAGGTCAATAGTTCTAGTGTCAACGTTCCTCCCTGCTCTTATCCGAGTTTTCCTCTAATCCTTTCGGCATGGCCAGGCGATTATCATCAATTAATTATCGAACATGGTGCACGATTCGCGGAAACTGCGCTAGAGATCGGTACTTACTCGCGTGTATAGCGTATCACGGAAGCGAAATCTCGCGAGACCACGATAATTGGCTAAGTGGCGACTATTTTATTCAAAGCGAGTACCAAGTGTAACGTTACGAGTGTCCGCGAAGGACATGTCTCGCTTCGAACTCGGAACGAACAATCCGCCAGAAACACGTTGTAATCGTTTTCTTAATTCGTATCTTTGCACCAATCTTTGGACACCGGTGCCAACAGGTACATCTTAACATTAAGTTAACGATGATCGACGTCATTGAGCCAGAATTAGCGATTTTTTAATACTTTCAGGCTAACGTAAAGATGTTCGACCTTCATCAGCGATGCAAGGTTTATCATTTAAACGGTTTAGGATGAATCTGGCGTCGATGAAAGTAATTTTAATGGAACCTGGTCGTATTCCCGTGGCTACTTGGTCCGAAGTTCGGATGCGAAATAACCGGTTATCTCGAAGAGTTCGAGAACCGAAACAAACGGAGGTATCGTTCAGATAACACGGTTTGAATAACTTATAAGCACATAAGGCCGCTGCTAATATGTATTGAAAAATTCCATGCATCTGTGAGCGAGTCACGGTTGCGGTAACTCGTGTTATGGAAATGTTCCTCGTCGTCTCGTTTTCTTCGGTATTTCACTGAATTTACCCATCTCAATGTTCTCCCTATATCTGCGAGAAACATCGTGGATGAGGCTTCTCCAGCATCGAATCTCTTTCATTGTCTCGAGACAGAATTAACCCTTTACAGTGGAGTCTTTTCACTGCTGCAGAGTTTATGACATTTTTTTGGAGATAATACGATGTTTACTAATTTTTGTGACTCTTATAGCATTGCTAACCAGTGACTGAAAGTTTCTTGCCTCGACTGCAGAAGGGTTAATCGTGTAGGAAATGTCAGAGATGCGTCTTTCGAGATCGTGACAATTGTATTCGAGTAAAAAGAAGGCTGGTATTAATTAGCAGGTTTTCGTGGCCCATTAAGGTCGGTGAAAGGGGCGTATTATACATAAACAAAGGACAGAACGTCGCATGTAATTTAATCTATTTTAAATTGTATATAGAAAGGCACGCTATTCGAAATTTCTCGTAGCCTCCCTGTAATTTCCTGCAGCCTTTCAATGCCGTGCGTTTCCGTGCTCGACTAAAAATTGCCAGTCCGTTAACCTATGCAAGTTCGAGAGAAAGAAGACGATAATGATAACGAGGCGCGAGGAAAATAATCAAGAGCTTTCAAGATCTCGCGCAATTATCTAGAAGTACACGCGAGCATGAGCCATACGTGGTAGGATTGAAAAGCTGCCCTGTGTCTGTTGGGTGACCGAGCTTTTCGGAAGCCTGACGAGGTTCCTCGGCGAATTTCGTCGAGTCGGGTTATCGCGTGACGCACGACATCCGATTCGTGTAATTTGATTGGTATCTTCGACGCCAGGACACGGAATTCCATTAAACTTGACCGTGTTAAACAGAGTTAGGAAAGCTCGGGTATAGTTGGAAGCGTAGGTCGTCCGGTAACGAGAACACAACGCACGTATGGCCGAGGGAGTTGTGTGTCAAGGCCACGCGGTGTGATCTCGCGTTAAACACCATACGCACGCCAGGATAATTTTTCAGCACGCATATCCGCGCCGATTAGAGTTCCGCGAGCCACGCTCGGCTTCACTTTCCGGCTCGTTTCGTCGCCTCGTTTCGCTCGTTCGCTCGAAAAACGACGGATAAAGCAGACTTCCTCCGATCCATCGAGTTCACCGTTTCGTGCACGTCCCTAGGAGCAGATTTTCCAGGCTCTTCGGGCGTAAAGTCTCGCGTCCCCTCGGAGAACTGTTTCACCCGGCACTGCGGTTGGTTTGCAGTAACTCGGAATTCTAAGGACACACGGACGTCGTGTGCAGCTTTGTGTGATGTAACGCCACGCTATGGTTTCCGTGGAACCCTAATTACGCCCACTGCAACACCGGCGAAACGTCGGTACACTTGTCCGTTAGGATAGCGTTCGCACAGGAAACGTTAGACAGTATCGACGTTACTTGCGAGCACGTCCATAAACTCGGGCCGTATGACGGTTACTGCTACTTCCTGCGTTTCAAAATATATCATCCTATAAATATCATCGAGATATCGAAATCGACGTAGGAAATTTCGCACCTGTTCCAGGGATACGTGTCGCAGGGAACCGTGTCATCGTGTCACGAAAATTACGTCCCTGCTCATTACGATACCCTGCAGCAACGTTCCCCCTCCAATGGTAAAACAGAACGGTCGACTCGAACCTTTACGGCGTACTAATAGCTTCTCCCCGACGACGAGGAAAGTTCTTTCGATGCTCGCTCAGCGTGGCTAATGCGCTCCCTAAATCGACTGCTCAATTCTAGAAAAAACTCCGCCTCGAAGGATTTCTGCGAAAATTGGGAATCTCCTCGATGTAAATGACCAATGGCAACGTCTTTCCAACCGGTCCAATGCTACACAGATTTATTCGTGTTTTAAATATATCATCGCATTAGTTCACTTTCGTGAATTTTTAATTTAAGGTTAAGGTTAAGGTTAGGAAATCTGACACGTGTATGACAGACGTGTACGCACGGCTATAACTTACGGTTCGAACAGCGTGGAGTCGATGATTTATGCTCAACAACAAATCGTTTTTGCATTGTAATAAAGTTCATGGGCTTAATGCTCCGTTAATCGATGTCGAGTTATCTCCAATGCCAGTCTATTAATATAAGAAGCAAACGAGACGTATTGACAGAGTAAAATTGCACACTTCTTACCGAGCGTCTGTGCGACAAGGTTATCGAAACGCACGTCACTCGTGAGTCATTAGATTGATAACTTGACCGGTTTGTTATACGTACGTGTTTACAACGCAATCTTGTCACTTCTTCACCCTACTTTTCTCTCGCTATATCCTCGCGGTTTGTATCGTCAATAACGCACACGCGGCATGTTTATCACCGCAAACTGCGAGTTTGTTAGAAAAGCGATTAACGTCTCGAGCATTTCTCGCCGCGCGCAGCACGCCAGTAACCTCCATGACAGGTTAGGGTTTACACAGCTTCTTCGCGCGCAGCGCGCGATATTCAAACGTTGGAAAAGCGTGTCGAAACTAACCGCGTCGCGGTCATGTTTGCGAAAGGAAATTTATCTTTCTAATACTTCTTAACTGTTACTTAACGCTTTATCCAAGTGTCAACATCCTGTATTTTCTACCGCAATACGATGAATACATTTTCTTCGGTATGTCCGTAAGGTTATGTTTTCTAATCCTACTTACCTACAAATTTTATTCGACCCAATTCAAAATTTACGCTAAATTCACGCTTTATTTAACAGAGAGAAACGTGGAAGGATAATAAGCCCAGGAATATATTAAATTCCTATAAAAATATACATCCATTGATAGGTTTGGAAGTGAAAGTAGTCAGAACGAAACGCCCAGCGTCGATTCTGATTTTCAGTGTCGGTAAAGTCGATTCTCCGACCATCGGAATGTTTTTAATCGTCATCGACGCGTGGTCAGGCAGACGAATAATAATTGGATCGACGAAAAACGCGTAGAAAGTAACGCGACGTACTCCTACGTGAGTACGATTCTCACGAGATAACTGTACCTAGACGTGCATGCGACATACTAAGCACAAACCAAATACGATCGGTATTTCATTAAATACGCACGCGCATTCTTGACCCTCGTCAGAGAGCGGAGCAATTGGAACGTCATGTGGACGTGCGGGACAGTTTCTATTTTCACGAAACAGGAAATCGATCAGCGACCGATCCTGTGGAATCTTACGTTCCTTCCACTTTCAACCGATCAATTAGGCGCCACCACTGTGACCCAAATCGAACTATTATCGACCCAGCCGATATGGTAAACCAAAAATTTCGCTTTACGCGCTCCTACGTTGTGATCGATAAATGTTAATTAACAAGCACGAGTATTTTACAGGGCAATTTCACGCGTGAAACCCTTACACGCTACGATTCAATTACGATTCCGTAGCGAGGAGTTTCGTTTAATTTTTCGTTTAATCTTCTCTATATTCCAGTCACAATGAAATTGTGAAAGCTCTCGGGATTAAAGAGAGTGAATGAGTAACTTACGAGATATACTCGTACTGCAAGGGGTTAGCCCTCTATCGCACGGGTGAGAAATGTCCCAGGGTCTGGCCGTTTTATTTGCTCTTTTATTTATAAACACGGTTTTTTTTCCTCCTAATAAGCCGTGTATTATTTATTACAGTGCGCGTACGGAGTAACGAAAACGAATGGAAATGGCTGCGCGGGTCTCTCAGACTCGTTTGATGGTGGGTCAACAACCCCTCTACCTAATTTATCTAACTCTAAGAAATTATGCATTCAAAGCAGGTCCAATTTTAATTATACACGGTGTCACAGGAATGGTAGGTAGTAAGATCGGTAAGAGATGATTCTACACGCAGAAACGAATCGAATATAAGGAATAAAATTTTTTCATTCGAGGCTTCGTTTCCGAGGAAATCGACTTTGAATGTTCACCGAGTACACTGTGCACTTAGCTACGGTTTACGTGTACGAATCATCGGTACAGGGGTATCGGTGGTTTAATCGACGAGGGAGTGATTTTACGTGAGAAAATGAGTCGAAAATAAAGAATAAAATTTTTCGAGAAATAAGTACGCTGCGCCATCTGTCGTCGAACGCGTAATACTTGACACGAGGCCACGTTCGCGGACGCGTTGGAAAGCTGAAGAATGGAAATCGCAGGTTCGTTTGCCGAGAGCTTTTCATCGACGCGAATGAATTTCATTGACTGGCCTAAGGTATGGCTTATGCGAGCCACGGTGCCCCGCATCGTAGCCAGCGGGCAATAACTTTCACGAATAAGGGGCAAGCGTATGGTTCCCCGGGACCGGCTATTAATTATTCTAGACGGGATCGATGATACGTCGGAATGGGATTACTTGAACGAGTTTGTCGGCTAAGCGAGGGACAATCGTCCGCGTTTCTGTGCCAATGCACATGGCAGGAACACCGAAGCTGCTGGTGGAAAAGCGTACAGGTACAGGTAGACGGGTTAAAGAGAGATAAAAAGCAAGACGAACCTCGTAGAAGATCCACGTGGAGAATAGTGTTTGGATCAAGTTGTACGCTATCAGAGTTCCCCGAAGATTGAAAGGCTTTTTATTTTCCATTAGCCTCGGTCCCATAACCTTGCTGAAATAAGCGTAAAATAGGCATATCGCCATGGTTGGAAGAGGACTGCTCATCATCATCCAATGGTTCACCCTGGGATCTAGAATCAGAACACAGTGACCGTTAGAATGGCGAATGGCAATCGAGACGACACCGAGCCGCGACCAATTCTTTTGTTAGGAATTCGCAAACCAAACTTTCCACGGAACGAACGATTAATCGGACGAATATTAACAAAATTCGAGAGAAGCAACGCTGAACTTTCGACGTCTATTTAGTCCTCTCGGAAAACTTGCGAGTGGTGGCCAATAAAATACTGGGAGGGTTGAAAAAGTCAAAACTTGTTCATTTTCTCTTTCTGTGAGCAGGAAAATGGCCACAGAAGGTGCTCATTCGAAGGCTGTTCTTCACACCCAATACTGGCAAAAATTATTTATATTTTTAAATAAAATAACAGAAAATTAGAAAACCACGTGTTTGTAAAATTATTTTTATATCAATCAGTCTTTCAGTGGCCACCCTTTGCACTGTAATAATTTCAATCATTTTTCCAAGACACATCAGACTTTCCACATAAAGAACGATTAATCGAATAACCTCTATCAGGCAAATATTAACAAAATTCGTGAGGAACATTGCTGAAACTTTGGACTATTTAGTCCTCTCGGAAAACTTGCTCGTGGTGACCAATAAAATACTGGGAGGGTTGAAAAGGTCATAACTTGTTCATTTTCTCTTTCTGTGAGCAGAGAAATGGCCACAACTGGTGGTTACTTGAGGGATGTTGTTTTTCATACCCAATACTGACAAAAATTATTTATATTTTTAATTAGAAAACCGTGTGTTTGTAAAATTATTTTTATATCAGTCAGTTTTTCAGTACCTATCCTGTGTATTAACCATTTGCACTATAATAATTTCAATAATTTCTTCAAGACACATCAGACTTTCCACATAAAGAACGATTAATCGAATAACCTCTATCAGGCAAATATTAACAAAATTCGTGAGGAACATTGCTGAAACTTTGGACTATTTAGTCCTCTCGAAAAACTTGCTCGTGGTGACCAATAAAATACTGGGAGGGTTGAAAAGGTCATAACTTGTTCATTTTCTCTTTCTGTGAGCAGAAAAATGGCCACAAAAGGTGGTCACTTAACACTAGGTTTACGGACACTATCTGTATACCTATTTCTAAGGACACTTGTCAAATTGACAGGTAAAGGAAACCACGTGCCTTCTTTTTTAACGATTAGTTTAATTTAAAAACAATTATATATTACATTAACAGTCTTGATATAAGTTAACTAAATCTGTTACCATCGTATAATTGGAGCAACCCTTCCGTCAAATTGACGGATTCCGTAAATCTAGTGTTAAGGGATGTCGTTCTTCACACCCTAATACTGACAAAAATTATTTATATTTTCAATTAGAAAACCACGTGTTTGTAAAATTATTTTTATATCAGTCAGTCTTTCAGTGGCCACCCTTTGCACTGTAATAATTTCAATAATTTTTCCAAGACACACCAGACTTTCCACATAAAGAACGATTAATCGAATAACCTCTATCAGGCAAATATTAACAAAATTCGTGAGGAACACTGCTGAAACTTTGGACTATTTAGTCCTCTCGGAAAACTTGCTCGTGGTGGCCAATAAAATACTGGGAGGGTTGAAAAAGTCAAAACTTGTTCATTTTCTCTTTCTGTGAGCAGAAAAATGGCCACAGAAGGTGCTCATTCGAGGGCTGTTCTTCACACCCAATACTGGCAAAAATTATTTATATTTTTAAATAAAATAACAGAAAATTAGAAAACCACGTGTTTGTAAAATTATTTTTATATCAGTCAGTCTTTCAGTGACCACCCTTTGCACTGTAATAATTTCAATCATTTTTCCAAGACACACCGAACTTTCCACATAAAGAACGATTAATGAAATAACCTGCATCGGATGAATATTAACAAAATTCGCGAGAAGCACCGAAACTTCGGACGTCTATTTATTCCTCTCGAAAAGCTAGCTCGTCGACGAAAAAATTGCCTCGCGTGGAACTCGTCACGTCCTACATGCACGCAAACTTTCATTAAAATCTGAATTTCCTCGTAATATACCGTACCAATATTCCTTTTTTCCCCCTTGCAACTCGTCCTCCGGAGTTCTCCCGGTGCACGTCGAATCGTTCTCGCATAAGTAAGAGATTAAAGCATTAAACGTAGGAAAGATTAAAGCGTTCGCTACGTGTTCGACGAAAGTGCATCGGCGGAGCAAATGAAACGAAAGATCACGCTGGGGGAGCAATTTCGTAGCAGCGTTCCTCGTGAATTTCTCTGTAAATCCTCGCGTCCAGCTCGTTCGTGGCTATCGCTAATTAAATCTCGTCCACCCACGGTAATAACGTTATGAACCTGTTTAATCATCGGATCTTCACCCGCGATTCCTGACGACCGAATAGAAGGCAAACAATCGTTCTTCCTCGTTGCCTTTTCTTCTCCCCTGCCCCCCATCTGTCCTCCTTTTTATTTTCCACAACCTTATGCATCGTCGTTACGGCACAATAAACCTCGTTATGACGATTTTCCTGTCATTAAACGGCGATAAAGCACTGGCTTCCCGGTTCGTTAACCTCTTTAACACCGTGATTATTTTTAGAAAAAAAAAAAAAAAAAATATATAGGGAAGAAAAAAATGGAAGAAAGACAGAGTGATCCGGCACTTCGTTCTAGCGGCCGATTGAACGCTTTTGTACGTATCGGGGGAAATTGAAACTGTTAGCAGGTCGACGGCACGCTATTCAAACAGTAACGCGAGTCGCATTTATCGAGTGTTTGGTTTTTATAAAAGAAAAGTTAATCGAACGTTTCATATACACGCAGAGGGGAAAAGGAGGGGAATCGATACGTCGATTTAACCTGTCCCTCGCGGAGAAAATGAGCTTGTAATTGCGCCTGTTATCGCGAAAGTCGCTCGAATTGTGTGTTTCCTTTCGAATTTTTCGGTTCTTTCTCTCTTTTTGCTTCTCCAAGACGATTTTTACTTAGCAGTGGACACAGTGATGTGATAATACCAAGTGCAGCGTGTGCGAATATGAAACAAAGAGTTAGGGTAATAGCCTGACACTATGGAAATGAAATTTGTGGTCATAATGTTGGATGACTAACGATTTGTTAGCCCTTAATCATTAGAAGAGTCTAGATAATAGACGCAGAACAATTTCAGAGTTCAAAAACAACTGACTCATTCCTACTTTCACTGAGGGCCAATGGTCATCTTCACCCCACCAAAAATGAACATTATATAAGCACCTACAAAATTTGCGAAATGCCAGTCTTTTCCTCTTCGTCGACTTGTATTTTTCCAACGTAGGCTTGCTGCTAGAACCAGTATTGTATACTGAAATATTAGTATAGCTAATAGTACTAGTATAGTTAGCAGTATACTGCTAGAGAAGAGTAGAAAATCAAAGATTCCCTACTAAAATACTGCCGATACTTTGTTCAGCAGTAAATAAAGAATTGTATAATAATAGAATTGTAGAATTACTTGACTTCGATACCTCGCACACTGTTACATTACATTAAATTTCATATATTAATTAATATCGATCTACCAAATTTTATGAAATCAAGACTGAAGCTCACCTCTCGAGTGCAAAGGGTTATGGTGAATGGCGCGAAATTCAAATCTTGCTACCCTATTACACTGTCCTAATAGTAAAGGTACAGTTCTGCATTCGAAATATATTATAAATCACGATATATCGATCTGACGTTCCAATTTCTCGCCGTTTTACCAGAAATATCTTTGTTCTATCGTAATGTAGATAAATCAACACGAAACAGGCGGTAATACTGTTAGGCCATTTTAGTAATTACCTGCATAATTTTGCCATTGTATATAATCATAATCTCGCAATCAGTGCTTTCAAGGTCTTCCCGCATAAAATGCATAAATATATTTTCCACTCTTTCTGAAATAAGATTTCCAAAGTTCTATTCCAATCTCTGTCAAATTTACCATCTTATCCTACTCGTGAGAAAGTATGATCGCTATGAGAGAAGTCATACTAATCGGTATGCCCTGACATACTGAACGCTGCTTTGATACAGTCGCGTGACAAAATTTAACCCTTTGCACTCGAGAGGCTACTCTCAGTCACCGTTTAATCAAATTCTAAAGATCACTGTTAATTAATATCTCAAATTTAAAATTGTCCAACGATGCGTGGAATATCGAGGTAAAATAATTCTATATCTTACAATTAATTTGCACTTCGTAGTTACCGTTTTGAGAATATCGTCGATTTTATGGCAGGAAGTCTTCGAATTACTATGTTCCTGTAACGAAAAGCTCGCCGAGTGCAAAGGGTTAACCTCTTTCGGTACTACTGCCGCACAATGGCGGCGGCCATGAAACGTTCTCTGGGTATTGCCATCGCCTATTGGCGCCATCTACGAAACGTTCTCTAGGTACTACCGTTGCCTATTCACGGTATCCACGAAACGTCACCGATGACTGTCGCAATCCGAATGAAAAGTTTAGTGTCAATCACGCTCGAAATTTCTATGAATACCGCAAAACGCGATTTCGTGGCTTCCAGTGCAACCACTCTTGTGGAAAACTTCCTCGTACCACGAATTTATAACCACTGCCAGCTCTTCCGTATCGAAAGGGTTAACTTTAAACTTTGATTATATTTTATTCTGTATAAATTCGCGGGGGCTTGAGTCTTGTGCGATGCGTGATGCAGACGGTGGTGGATTGTCGAGAAGTGTGTGTTCCCTCGAACCCTTCTGCCAGGTTCTTATAGGCTCTATGACGACCCATTACGTTTTAAGGAATTAGGGAATTAAGGAATTAAGGAATTACGATTATATCTTTTTAACGTTTACATTCTTTAACCCAAATTTCGACGACAATGGGGTAATTAGGAACATCGGCAACGACGGAGAACAATGGCTAATGTGGCGGGCGAGGGTGACATAACGAAGAGAAGGGAGAACGGGCTAATTATTCGAATACAGGGGCAGATACTGCGAAGTTTCCAGCTGCAATAAAAGTGTTGAACACTCGAATGCCAAATGGCGTCGCGAGA